TATGTATTTCCAGTGCCAGAAGTCTGTTTTTGTTTTTGCTGCAGAGCAGATTAAAGCAGAGCGGGTGCAGTGACAGAACTGGGTCACCATGGCAGCCTCCTGTTGGGAGATGTGCAGATTTACATTGAAAATAGCTCTCAGAATATTAGTAATTAGCTGTTAGCAGGAATGGGAACCGACGTCTCCAGCAACAATAATTGAGTGAAACTGGCTCTGCTGCCATGTCCCAGGGTTACAGGTGTCTCACATGTGCCAAGGCGTCTCATACTAATTTCCCTTTTTTCTGCAGACGAGCTTCTCCAGGAGCAGAAAGCCGACATGGACCAGTTCCTGTCGTCCATCTCTGAGTGGCAGCCAGATGTCACCGTGTCGTCGGAGGAGGAGGAGGAGAACGTGGAGGTCCCCGTGTCCGAGGGGAAACCCTACCGGCCCGTCCAGGTCAAATCCCTGGGCTCCCGTCCAGAACCAGAAGGTGAGCGGCTCCAGCCTCAGACACAGGCAGCATGGTGAACAGCTCTGTGTGCAGGACGAAAGCCCTACACATAAGTCAGTCTGAAGGACATTGGCGACAAAGCACGCCAGAACTGTCGCACAGTGAGGTTTACAATGTGTTTTATGGCGATGCAAATGTGCTGTGGAGCCATGGTGTTTATCTGTGCCTGCACAGTTCCCCGTGGCCTTGCCTTCAACGCAGCACTACTGAAACTCAGATGAATGCACAATGCCTCAGGCTTTGGTGCTGAGCTGGAGCCAAAAGCTTAGGAAAGAAAAATGAGCAGTTATGGCTCTCTTTGTCACATTTGTGCCAAACAAAAGATGAATCCTCAAGGAGAGAAAAATGTGAAAAAAAAAAAAATGTGATGGATGGAAAGCTTCCAGCATTATGGAAGGCACATCACCAGTCAACCCCAGAGGAGCATTTCATAAACATGCCAACACCCCAGAGGGCTCAGACAAAGCCAGACAGTTTTGAAATGGCTCCCTTCCTCTCAAAAAGAAATGTCGGACACTTCCCTGCTGAACTCTCTTCCTAAATCAATTAACACAGCTTGGTAATCCTTTTTTCTCTTCTCACCTAAGTTAACTCTCTTCTCTCCTCTCCCCCTTTTCTTTTTTTTCTGTTGCTCATTTCTAATGCCAAGGCGATCTATCAGACTCCCCGCGTGCCTTCAAGAAAGGTTGGTGCCTCTGTTGCGTCTTGTTTTTCCACCTACTCCTCATTCCTCATTTACTATTTTGTTCCACTCTTCTCCTCTCCCTCGGTGCTCTGGTATCCTCCCTCTCTCGACCACCATTTATATTTTATCAAATGCCATCTGGTAGTTCATTTTCTCTTTTTTCGCTGACTCATACTGGCTGCGTGTTTGGGTTTTTCAGTTGCTCTTATGCTTTTCATCATACTGGGATTATCACCTCATGCTGACAAGTCAAGCAGTGGCATCTAAAGTCTGGTCGATTTGGTTCCAGCCTCCTCTCAGTCACCTCAGTCGCGTGTTGGCTGTCAGCCTGTCCTCAGTATACATTTGTCAAACCACCTCTTAATTATTCCTCCTCCCTCAGACTCATTCCCCTCATCAGTCACCCTCTTTCTGATGGGAGCTGTGTGATTTAGTGGCCCTGTCTACGGCTCCTTGTTCCTGCCGCTGACCTACAGCCCCATCTAAATTTGGCCCAATTTGTCCTCCAAGATCTGAGACAGCGGCTTGGTGACGTCACCTGTTTTGTCTGATCCGGACTTAACCTTGTGGCCTTACTCAGTGAACACAAAGACACCTTAATCTAATGGTTGAATCTAAAATATATATGGATTTTCTTTTTTTTTTAATGGATGCACACCCTTCCCTGCTGTTTGATCCATAGTCTACAGAGCTCCTCAGGGGTCACACCGTTGAAAATAAATCAATGTGTAAATATGTGCTTTTGGATAAACATTTAAATATACAAATTAAACCAAAATGTCAGCACTGTTGTACCAAAAGCATACAGAGACCTAAATCAATAGCATGGAACACTAAATGGGAATAATATGGCCCCTTTAAACTTGGAAGTCACTACAATGCATGATTTAAATATAGCTGTTTTAAATTGATACAGTATTAGAGAAAAAGTGCAAAACTGTCCCAAAATGTAGGCTACTATTCAGTATCACTGAATCATTACCTTTAGAAATATGTGCCTATTGTGATACACAGCAGATCAAATAGTGATATTATGTTAACCCAATGATAAACTGTGAATTGTATGGGTATACACATCGATTTCTTGTTTTTTCTACAATGTGATCCCAGTACTAGTATAGAAAAATAAGACAGAAAATCAGCAAGAATTCCAACATTCGGCATACTGACATGTGTTTGATAGACGATTCAATTGCTCTGTCGATTGACTGGTCAATTTATGGACTAATTGTTTCAGCACTTTTTCAAATCAATGCATAGGAGAAGTCATTGCTCCCATAGAGGTCACACCCATTGTGCTGTGTGGTATTGTGTGCACACTGCTGTACCGTCTGATAACCTGCCGGAGCTGCAGACGTCACTCCAGCTTGAGCAACCATTCGTAACCGCACACCATTGTTCCTCACTTAATCCAAAGGCAATTGTACCAATCTTTAGTGTGTGGCGTTGGCTGACTAGCAGACAATAAGCAGACGGTGGAGCCCTTCCTGCTGTATATCGCTCTGGACGCTGCCCTCACTGCCCCGCTTTCTCTCTCACTTCCTGATTTATTCATGGCATATCTAGTGTGTATATTAATAGATCCTACGCCTATTTCGAAACCATCAGTCTAATAAGCATATTCCACTATCTGGCCCAGTTTTTGAATGATCATCTGTCAAAACTCAAGGGATCTTTTGATGAGAAACTACATTGATGGTGAGTTTTGGCCATAAAATTGGAGATAAGTGAAAAGTATTAAAATCCAGGATGTAAATTGTTAAGAACAGTCTTATTTAAAGGGGCCCTATTGTGCTTTCCCCTTTCCTGTAGTGTGTTATATAGGTCTGTGTGCTTGTAAATGGTCTCCAAAGACTCAAATCCCCAAATGTCCTTCCAGAACTAGCTTCTCTTCCACACACTTCTGCCTGAAAAGCCTCCATTGTTTACTTCCTTAACTTAGTGATATCACTATTAGTACTAGCGCTTCTATTGGCTAGTGCTCCAACACATTGTACGTGATAGGCTAAGGGGCGGGACTAAACTTAATCTCTAAGCAGTTGACCAATCACAACAGAGCTGGCCAGCTAACCAATCAGAGCAGAATAGGCTCTGGTTTCAGACAGAGGGTGAAAAGAGGTGCTGCAGCACAGGCAGTTTGAGAAATATAGAGACCTTTTTGAACATTAAAGTATGGAGGCATGTCCCAGTAGAGACACTACGTACAAATATTAACCTGAAAATGAGCAGAATAGGGCCCCTTTAATAAGTCAATGGATGTTTATAGAGCATGCTAAGTAAGCACTACTTTGAGGGGGCCTTTGTGGTCAGGTGGTGTTGGCGTCACAGTGCTCACACTGTGCTGAATGGAAGAAAGGGCTTTGTTGTCAGCAGTGCAGTGAGGAGACTGTGGTGACAGTGGTGAGGAATAGAGCTGGATATCCATGTGCAGCTGTCCACCATCAGTACCCATCCCTGTGTGTGTGTTAGTTTGTTTGTTTGTGCTGCTCTGCTGTTATTGACGGTGCTCCTTTACCTCCCGCAGGCTCCGCCATGTCTGGTTTAGATGGTCTGATAGGTGCTGAGGAGAGAATCATCAACAGCAAACCCAAGATCAGCAACAATGTGGTAAGAGCTTCGCTGCCGCTTCATCGTTCTGTTTGTGCTTCAAAGCTTTTTCTACAACACGCAAACTGAGAGCAGAATTGTCAAAGCAGGAGAAATAGTGTTATATATTCAAATGTATTCCCTGTGTTAAATATCATTACAGTTTTAAAAAAGTACACAGTGCTTTTGCATGTTTACCTTTGGCCTCTGCAAACCAACCCTTATCCAGTATATCGCCACACTTTCTCATCATCGCATGCTACGTTTTTTATTTGCCAGACACTCCTTTCTTTCTTGTGTTTTTTTGTTTATCGTTGCTTGTCTGCAGAATGCTGTGTTTCGCATGCTAATCCAACACCAACTGCAAAGCTGTGTACTTGTATGTGTAAATATGCCAGTTTTTGAATGCATGCATGTTTCTTTTTTTTCTTTTTTGAAGTCCTCTAAGACGGAGCAATCTGAGGTTTTAAAAATAACAAACGGCGACTAAACGCCATGCTTTTTTCCCGTGGGACTCTGGACTGATCTGTCCCTACAAACAGCAGATTTTGTTTCTGCCTCCTGAACCCCCCCACTTCCACTCACAGCGCTTCTTCTTTAGACTAGAGCTCTCAATAATGAAAGTAAACTGTGTGCCGAGGGGAAAGTCTGTTGTTGATGCCTGCAAACCCCCCCCCCCCCCCCCC